AAGTTTATTTAGTAAATTTATTTAGTTTAAATAGAGAGTAGCTTTAAGTAATACTAAAAATAAAAAGAATAAAAGGAATTTTTATAAGCTTTAGTATACTAAATATTAGCCTTCTTAGCCCTTTTTTCAAAAGCCTTTATATTCTTATTAAAGTTTAGAACCTTTACGGTCAAGGGTCGCCTTTAACTTTTATAAATAACTTCAATTATTAACCTTTCTAATTAGTACTACTACGTAAAGAGCAGCTTACTTATCCCGCATTATATAGTAGTTTTTATATTAAAATTATTATACTACGTTAAGTATATACTTAAGGTATATTACGCATATTATATTATTAAGAAATATACTATATAATATAATTTCTTTTAAAAGCGTGATCCCGTTAAGGTCGATCTTTTATATTTATAAAGCCGAAAGAAACTACTATACGAAAGAGATTATAAAAAACGATAAGGATTTTAAAAAAAAGTAATAAAATCTAAGTATACTAATAATACATCTTTAGACTAATTAAAAACAGAGAATATTATGCATCCCTAAGAGCTATGCGTCCGTATTAACTCGTTATATATCCTTATTAATTCTTATTAATAATTTTAACTATTTAGGGTCCGGTCCGCCTTATTATAGGCCATCTTCGCCTTTATAAATAAGTTAGTTTATTAAGGTTAATATTAAGTATTTTTATTACGTACTTTAATAAAACCTTATAACTAACTATAGCTAGCCGTAGCCGTTATTAAATACTAATAACCCCGCTACTATAATATATTAATTACCCTCTAAATAGCTAAAAACTACCTCCTATTTTTCATTATATTTAATAACTTTAGAATATCCTTTTTAATCCTTCTTAATTTACTCTTATACTATATTTTTAAAGTATTAATAATACTCTAGAGTTAGTTAAGTATTTCGAGGTTATTAGATTATATAAACTAAGTATTAATTAGAATAATAGCTATTTATTTTAGTATTCTACCTTTACTAGCTGCTCGGGCGGTTCTCAATATCGATTATATAATATTAATATAGGAATTAATATACGGGCGTTATAAATTAATATACGGGCGTCGCTCCTATATAGGCGTCGCTATTTTACTTTTTAATTAGTCTAAAAAAATAGTACCTCTTTATAAAAGCAGTAAGGGTAACTATATTAATATAGCTATTTTTATTATCTACTCTAACTTGAGCTCTAGTTTAAGATTTTTGAAAATAAAAATACTACTATAACCTACGTACTTATTTAGAACCGCTATATTACTTATTTAAAATTTATAAATTTCGAATCCCTTTGGGGTCCGGTCCGCCTCATTAGGGGCCATCTTCGCCTTTATAAGTAAGCTAGTCTATCAGGGTTAATATTAAGTTTTTATTACGTACTTAATAAGACTTTATAACTAACTATAACTAGCCGCAGCCGTTACTAACTAAATACTAACGATCCTACTATAATATATTAATTACTTTTTTAATAACTAAATACTACCCCTTACTTTCTCCTTTTATCTTATTTAATAATAACCTCTCCCTATTACTATTCCTATTTAATACGCTCGCCTATACTCTTTATAAACTCTTAATTATATTAGTAAATCTAGGTTTACTTATACTACTTTATTATATTAAAAAGGCACTAATAAGGGTAACGTTTATAATAATATATCTATCCGTTTTTTATAAATTAATATTATAAATATAATATTTATTAAAGTAGTCTCTTTATAGCTCGGGGTTATTTAGTATAATACTTATAAAATTAAATAACTTCTAAATATTAAAAAAGCCCTAAGGGTTAATAAGTTATTAATAACGTCTTAGTATTTTCATAAAATATATTTAAAATAGATAGTTAAATAGTAATAATAATAATAATAGTATCATAATAATAAATAGCGAGGGAAGCGTTATTAATTTTAATAAAAGAAACGAGGTAATAAATATATATATATATATATATATACGAGTTAAAGTTAAAAATATTAGGGTAGATATTATAAGGTCGATATTATTCTTAATAATAATAATAAGGGTATCTCTAATACTACTATTATAAATTACTATACTTAGAAGGGTAACTAACTTAGTTAAGTACGCGGCAGGCTTATAAAGTAATAGCGCCTATTATCGCCGTTAATAATCCGTAATTATAAACTTTAAAAGAGGGAAAGTTAAGAAAAATCTAAAAAAAATAGTCTAGCGAGATAGTATAAGTATTTACTAATACTGTGTATTAATACTATGTAAACGACATTAAGAATCGCCCGAGTAGCTAGCAAAGGCAGAATACAAAAATAAATAAATAAACTTTAAATAAGTAAGGCTTTTTTTTTATTATATATTTAAAATATCCCTTTAGGGTCCGGTCCGCCTCATTAGGGGCCATCTTCGCCTTTATGGGCAAGCTGGTCTATTAGGGTTAATATCGAGTTTCTATTACGTACTTTAACAAGACTTTATAACTAATAATAGCTAGCCGCAGCCGTTACTAAACACGCTAATATAGCTTAAATAAACCGTTACTAACGACTTAATATATTAATCGCTTTCTAAATAGCCGAATATTACCCTTTACTTTCTCCCTTTATCTTATTTAATAATAACCTCTCCCTAATATTCCTATTTAATACGCTTAACTACGCTCCTTTTAAGCTCTTAATTATACTATTAAGTCTAGGCTTATTTATATTACTCTATTATATTAAAAGGGCGCCGATAAAAGTAATACTTATTATAATATATCTATCCGTTTTTTATAAATTAATATTACGGATTTAATATTTATTAAAGCGGTCTTTTTATAGCTCGGGATCGTTTAGTATAATACTTATAAAATCGAACTTCTAATTATTAAGGAAGCCTTAAGGGTTAACGAGTTATTAATAGCGTTTTAGTATTTTAATAAAGTATGCTTAAGGTAAATAGTTAAATAGTAATAACGATAGTAATAGCGTAATAATAATAAATAGCGAGGAAAGTAGCGTTTTTAACTTTAATAAAGGAAACGAGGTAACGAATATATATATATATATATAAGTTAAAGTTAAAAGTATAGTAAATATCGTAAGGTTAATATTATTTAATAACGGTAACGAGGGTATCTCTAATTCTATATTATTATAAGCTACTATTACTTAGAAAAGTAGCTAACTTAGCTAAGTGCGTAATAAGCTTATAAAGTAGTAGTATTAGGTGCCTAATATCGCCGTTAATAATCCGTAGTTATAAACTTTATAAAAGGGAAAGTTAAAAAGTTAGAAAATTTAAAAAAAATAGTTTAGCGAGATAGTATGAGTATCTACTAATACCGTATATTAATACTATATAATTAATATCGAGAATCGCTTAAGGAGCTAGTAAAGGCAGAATATTAAAATAAATATTTAAAATATATAAAGAATAAATTATAATAACGTCTACTTAACTACCTCTTTTAATATAATTATAATAATTTATTATTATTATAAACCGCTTTTTATTAGCTCTATTTTTTCTAAATACTAAGCTATATCGGCCGTTTATTTATATAATTCTTTATTATTCTCCCCTTATTAAAAACGCTAAACTAGCTCCTTATTTATTACTAAAATAAGCTTAATATTTAGCTTTAACTTAGCTAACTTATTTCTTTTATAAACTTAGTTAGTATTAACTTATTTTTATTCCTAAATAAGTAGCCTTATTTCTTATTATTAGTACCTTAGTTATTATAAGTAGTACGAGCTTAACTAATTAACTAGCCTTTTTTTAATAAGGCTAATTATAATAAAATAGGCTATATTATATTCTTTAGCTTATTATAAAAGGATATAATAATCTTAGGGTTAAAGATTTAATAATATAAATCTAAAAAAAACGTTTTTTAAAAACGTTACTAAGGGTATACTTCTTACTTATTAAAAATAACTAATTTTAATATTTTAAAGTAGATTTTATAATAATATAAAATACTTAATTTAATTAAAATAGTATAATTTAAATTATAAAATCTAAGGGGGTTTAGGAATAGCCTCTTATTAAATAGTATTACTTTTTTTATAAGCTAGCCTTATATCCTAATTAAAATAAGATATTTTAAAAAAAGTATTATTTAAAGTTTACTTAAGTACTTAAAGCGAGTACTTATATACTCCTAGCTTATAAGTACCTCGTTTTCTATATAAGCTTAGTAAAAATATAGCTCTTAATTACTAATTATTTATTTTTATATTCTGCCTTTACTAGCTACTCGGGCGATTCTCGATATTAATTACACGGTATTAATATATAGTATCAATGTATACTCCCACTGTCTCGATAGACTATTTTTTTTGATTTTCCTTAACTTTCCCTCCTATAAAGTTCATAACCACGGATTATTAATTACTAATTATATTCTATATAATATTAATAAGCTAATATAAGTGATTAAGACTATTTAAGAAATAACTCTTAATATTATTATTACTTAACTTAGTATTAAAAATAATATAAGTACGAAAGTTTTAGTATTTTTAAATAAAGTAATAGGCTTATTATACTTTTAAAAATAAGTATATTACGTAGAGGTATTAGAAGATTAAGTATTAGTTATTAAACTTTTTATAAAGCTTAGTCTAAGCCTTTTTAAAAATATACTTAGTTTTAGCAAAAATAATAAGCTTTTATATTATAAAGACCCTATGATATATATAAAAAAGGGGCTTATTAATAAGTATATTAATATAAACCTTATTTTTATTACTTAGTATAATTATTAATTATATTAATAACTAATATCCTTTATTATTATACCTATTATTATTATTATTATTATAACTACGGTCCTTAACTTACTTTTACTTAGCCCTAAGTATAATATTAAAATTAATATAATAAATATAAAGTTATTACTAAACGTCTAAGAACTACTCGTTTAATATAGCTTTTATTTACTTATCGTAATTTATAATAATAATAATAAAGTAACGGACTAAGTATTAGTTTATAAGTTAGTAAATACTTATTAAAAAAAACTAAAAACCCTTTAGTTTCTCGTTATTAATAAGGCCGAACGTAGTGTTATAAATAGATCTAAAATAAGTTTACTTAGTAACTTTAAAAAGAGGGAGCTTAAAGTAATTAGTATTATAAATATTATTAAAGCTAATTACTTTAAAGAATCGCTTTTATATTTAGAAATAACAAGAAAAGGTCTAAATAAAGTTAATAAAGTTAATAAAGTAGTTTAGCTTATTATCTACTTATTTTATTATATATAAAATATCTCGCTTATTAAATAGCTTAATTAACGCTATAATTAGCGAGTATTTAACTAGTTTCTCTCGGTTTATACGAGCCCTAATATTATAAATATCTTACTAAGTAAATAAGGACTCTAGGAACTACTCTTAAATAATAATACGTATATTACGAGCCTAAATCCTAACTCGTTAGCTTATAGTTTTAATAATATCCTTAATTATTTTAATATGTATAGTGGTTTTTTTCTAGCTTTATAGGTACAAAAGATCGACCTTAACGGGATTACGTTATTAAGGGAAATTATATAATATAGTATACTATTTAATTATATAATATATATAATATATCCTAAATACGTACTTAACGTAATATAATAATTTTAATACGAAAACCGCTATTTAATTTAAGATAAGTAAGCTACCCTCTTCGTTATATAGCAGTGTTAATTAGAAAGGTTAATAATAAAAGTTAGCTATAATAATTAGCCGTAATAATTAGTTATAATAATTAGTTATAATAGTTAGCTATAATAGTTAGAGGCGGCCTTTAACCGCAGAGGTTCTAAACTCTAATAGCGACGTAGAGGTTTTTTAAAAAAAAAGGGCTAAATAGGCTAATATTTACGTATTAGAGCTCGTAAAGATTTTTTTTATCCTTATCGCTTTTAATATTACCTAAAGCTACTCTCTATTTAAACTAAATAAATTTACTAAATAAATCTACTAAATAAATCTATTAAATAAATTTACTAAATAAACTTATTAATATATAAACTATTACTTAAATAGCTAGTTATATAACTAGTTAAGAAGTTAGCTAGTTAAAATACTACTTTAATAAGAACTTATTTTAAAAATACCCGTTAATAAGTCTACCCCTCTCGGGCTAGGCGCTCTCGGCTAGTTCAATAGTATAACTATCGTAGTTAATATAAATATACTTAAGAAGTAGTAAAATACCTTTTAATAATACGGAATTTAGCTAAGTAATAGTATAAATACTATAAATAACTAGGCTAATATAAATATTAAGATTTAGTATATTAATATTAATTTAAAAATTATATTTTATATTTTATAAAATTCGAAATCTTTTTAATATAAGCTATATTATAAATATAAAGGAATATATAAAGGGCCCCCTAATTTTTAATAAAAAGGAGTATATAATATAAGATCTAGCTATTTATATATAGTGGTTTTTTTCCGGCTTTATAAGTACAAAAGATCGACCTTAACGGGATTACGCTTTTAAAGGAAATCACACGATATAATATACTTTTTAACTATATAATACGCGTAATATACCCTAAGTACGCGCTTAACGTAATATAATAATTTCGATATAAAAACCGCTATATAATTTAGAATAAGTAAGCTACCCTTTACGTAGTAGTACTAACTAAAAAAGTTAATAGCAGAGGTCGGCTATAATAATTAGCTATAATAATTAGCTATAATAATTAGAAGCGGCCTTCCTTAACTATAAAAGTTCTAAACTTTAATAGTAACGTAGAGGTTTCTAAAAAAAGGGCTAAATAAGCTAATATTTACTACTTTTTAGAGCTCGTAAAGATTCTTTTTATCCTTATCGCTTCTAATATTACCTAAAGCTACTCTCTATTTAAACTAAATAAATCTACTAAATAAATCTACTAAATAAACTTATTAATATATAAACTACTACTTAAATAGCTAGTTAGATAACTAATTAAAAAGTTAGTTAGTTAAAATACTACCTCGATAAGAACTTAAAAATACTTATTAATAAGTCTACCCCTCTCGGGCTAGGCACCCTCTTTAACTAGCTCGACGCTATAGCTATCGTAACTAACGTAAATACGCCTAAAAAGTAGTAAAGTACTTTTTAATAATACGGAATCTAGCTAAGTAATAATACGAACGCTATAAATAGCTAGGCTAATATAGATATTAAGATTTAGTATATTAACGCTAATTTAAAAATTATACTTTATAGAGCTAAAAATCCCTCTAATATAAGTTATATTATAAATATAAGGGAATATATAAGAAGCCCCCTAACCCTTAATAAGAAGGAATATATAATACAGGATCTAACTACCTATGCGGGCTAGTATTAGGAGGTCTTATATATATTAAAATAAGTATAGCTCGCCCTCTAAACGGCTAGAACTTAGAGGACTTTATATAAAAAAAGGTTAGGAGTTTTAATTAGTAATTAAGTATAGAGCGCAATATACCTAGTTTTCCCTAATACGTAATACATAATACGGCCCCAGCAGATTACTCCGTCGGGGGGTTACGTACCCTTTATATCATAAGCTTATTAAAGTAGTTAAGAATATTATTAAAATTATAAGTTAATAAGTTAGGATTTAAGCTCGTAATATATATACTATTTTTTAAAAATAGTTTTTAAAGTCCTTATTTACTTAGTAAAATGTTTATAACGCTAGGGCTTATATAAACTAAGAAAAACTAGCTAAATACTTACTAATTATAATATTAATTAAGCTATTTAATAACTAAAATATCTTATTTTTTTTTATTTTAATATTCTGCCTTTACTAGCTGCTCGGGCGATTCTCAATATCGATTATACGGTATTAATACACGGTATCAGTGGATACTCACACTGTCTCGATAGACTATTTTTTTTTAGATTTTCTAACTTTTTAACTTTCCCTCTTGCAAAGTTCACAACCACGGATCCTAAAATATCTTATATATAATAAAATAAGTAAATAATAAGCTAAACTACTTTGTTAGCCTTATTTAAACCGTTCTTTATTATTTCTAAATATAAAAGCGATTTTTTAAAATAATTAATTTAAATAATACTTATAATACTAATTACTTTAAGCTCCCTCTTTTTTAAGTTACTAAGTAGACCTATTTTAAATCTATTTATAATACTACGTTCGGTTTTATTAATAATAAGTAACTAAAGGGCTTTTAATTTCTCTTAGTAAGTATTTATTAGCTTATAAATTAATACTTAGTTTATTACCCTATTATTATTATTATAAACTATTTGTTTTTTTATTTCTACCTTTACTAGCTGCTCGGGCAATTCTCAATATCGATTATACGGTATTAATACATAGTATTAATAGATACTCCCACTGTCTCAATAGACATTATTATAAACTATAATAAGTAAATAAAAGCTATATTAAACAAGTAGTTCTTATATATTTAATAATAACTTTATATTTATTATATTAAATTTACCCTTTGGGGTCCGGTCCGCCTCATTAGGGGCTATCTTCGCCTTTATAAGTAAGCTAGTTTATTAAGGTTAATATTGAGTATTTTTATTACGTATTTTAATAAAACTTTATAACTAATTATAGCCGGCCGTAGCTATTACTAAATACTAACGACCTTACTATTATAGTATATTAATTACCCTTTAAATAGCTAAAAACTACCCCCTATTTTCTATTTTTTTTAATAATATTAGATTTTTCTTTTTAATCCTTCTTAATTTACTCTTACGTAGTAATTCTAAAGTATTAATAATATTTAGGAGTTAGTTAGGTATTTCGAGGCTATTATATTATATTAGTTAAGTATTAATAAGGGTAATACTTATATTAATATATATATTCCGGATTTTTAAGTTAATAATATTTAATCCGTATTCCTTAAGACGACCTTATTATAGTTCGGGGTCCTTTAGTATAATACTTATAAAATCGAACTTCTAGTTTTTAAAGTATCCCTATAGATCGATAAGTTAGTATTTTAGTATTTTAATAGTATATATTTAAAGTAAATAATTTAATAGCGATAGTAATAGTACGATAATAATAAATAGCGAGGGAAGTAGCGTTTTTTAATTTTAATAAAAGAAACAAAGTAACGAATATATATATATATACGAGTTAAAGTTAAAAGCGAAGTAAATATTAGTGTTTATAAAGGTCGGTATTATACTTAATAATAGCGATAAGGGTATCTCTAATACTATACTATTATAAGCTACTATTACCTAGAGGGCAATAAACTTAGCTAAGTAAGTAGCTTATAAAATAATAATATCGGGCGCTTAATATCGCTATTAATCCGTAATTATAAACTTTATAAGAGAGGAAGTTTAAAAAAGTAGAAGATTTTAAAAAAATAGTCTAACGAGATAGTATAAGTATTTACTAATACTATATATTAATATTATATAACCGATATTAAGAATTACCTAAGTAGCTAGTAAAGGTAGAAATAAAAAATAAATAAATTATATTAAATTTAATATTATACTTAGAACTTAATAAAAATAGGTTAAAGACCGGAGTTATAATAATAATAATAATAGGTCTAATAATAAAGGATATTAGTTATTAATATAACTAATAATTATACAAAGTAATAAAAATAAGGCTTATATTAATACGCTTATTAATAAACCCCCCCTTTATATATATTATAAGGTCCTTATAATATAAAAGCTTATTATTTTTACTAAGACTAAGTATACTTTTAAAAAAGCCTAAACTAAGTTTTATAAAGAGTTTAATAACTAATACTTAATTCTTTAGTATTTCTATATAATATACTTATTTTTAAAAATATAATAGGCCCGTTATTTTATTTAAAAATACTAAAACTTTCGTACTTATATTATTTTTAATACTAAGTTAAATAATAATAATATTAAAAGTTATTTCTTAAATAGTCTTAGTTATTTATATTAGCTTATTAACGTTATATAAGATATAATTAGTAATTAAGAGCTACTTTTTTATTAAGTTTATATAAAAAACGAGGCACTTATAAACTAAGAATATATAGTAGTTTTTCCCCCTAATAAAGTAATCCGCCGGGGCCGTACTATGTATTACGTATTAGGGAAAACTAGGTATATTGCGCTCTATACCTAATTATTAATTAAAATAGTAATTAACTAACTTAACTATTATCTTTTTTTATTAATAGCTCCC